TTTGTGCTGTAGCAGGGGCGAGCGGGCAGTGGTTGTGCCTGTTGCTCGGGAAGGTAAACCCCATTGGCGGTTTAGGGTCGGGTTGCGTGTTTCTGGCGTGGCCGTGTGTGCTTTTGTTGTGGTTTTTTTTTTTAATTCGAAATACGATTTTTAGAAACATCCAGTGAGCTCCGGCTAATGGGGCAATGAACTGGTGCTGTGGGTTGGAGGTTTTTGCCGAGGTGTGGCTCTGTTTCCTCTTCTGCAGGGCATTGAGTCTCTTATGTAAATTCCTTAGATAATCTTTAAGTAAAACCTTGCATTTTTTGGAAAATCACGAAGAGACCGTGGAAGGTCAAACTGGATTTTGAACACAAGTTTTCTGCTGTTATTGAAGAAGATTTATTAAATTTGAACTCTGTCTTTAGCTGTTAGTATTTCTACTGTTTTCTCCCCCCCAACCCACTGTGCATATGGGGAATTGTTTAATCATTACATACAGACATAAAAAAAAAACCCCACCCAACACCTTTTCACTGACAGGTGAAATCTGTGTATGTCACTTAACATATACAGCAGGTTTTCAACCCTAGCCTGTTCACCTGTGCAAGAGCTTAACAGATTGTATAGCTTGTTAATTCTCCATTGTATTTGTTGCTCTTTACTGCAGTAAAGTATTTTATAATTGAATAATGGTATTTTAGGACAAAAGGGTTACAAGATGCCTGCTTTCTCTGACCTAGAAAATTCTCTGTTCTAATAGTAAAAGCTGTCCAATAAAACGGATATAAAAGGAGTTAGTACCTTGTATTCTCCAGTATCTGTGACTAGGTGTGTAAAATCCAGGTGATTTTTCTTTGTTAATTACTAGGAAAATGCATATTTTTTCTATAAAGAACTGGTTAGCTCCTTTGAGTCCAAACAGCGGAGTTTTTTGTGATGCTCTATCCATACAGAAGGGAGAGGCTTCTGGAAGGATGTGGTTAGGACAGTTAAGCTCTGGGAAAGCCCATTTAATTGCCCACTCAGCTGTATACCTTTGGATGCAGCAGTGGCCTCTTGATGTGCAGAAGGTCATCAGCAGGCATTTTAAATCTTGCCACTTAAAGTAATGTATAAAACAACCTGCATATCAGTGTGAGGCACCTTATTTTTCCATTCAGCCAAGCAGTTTAAGGTGATGCTTGAAAACTGGCATTTTCTTTGTCAGAGATAGCAAAAATCTCCATAATACCGAGTAGTAATTCCTCCTAATATCACAGCACGGTCCTTTCTGTTAAGCTTATAGTAGGCTAATACTTGAGGCAATGTGGTGGGGGAGGGCAGACTTCAGTAGTGTTAGATCACTAGGTGGCACACTTGTCATTAGCCCACTAATGTGCAAATACCCCCATGCAGTATTAGGGTCACTATACAGCTGGAAATGACATCTGATGTGGTGTGAAGCCCCAAACGTATGTCACTAAGGATTTTGTGCCTCTCTGACCAATTGCAAGGAGCCTGCCCTGTGTCCTTCACTTGACCAAATCAGATTCTTCAAGTTGAAGGATGGCATGTCCGGTTCTTCATGTGCAGTTTCAAAACAAGTTAGCTTACATGCTTTTGGAAACGGCTGCATGGTGTGGGTGAGTGGAATCTCCTTGCAGAGGCAGAATTCCAGAGGTTGAAAGTGGCTTTGTAAAAGTAATGATAAATCACTACTGAAATCTAAAGGAAGTGTCTCATGGCTTGACATAGCTAGAGGTAAACAATATTCTAAAATGTTCTATTCTTCGTGTAGGCTGATCAGCTGACTGAAGAACAGATTGCTGGTAAGTGTCTTGATGAGAGATGATTATTTTTTTGGTAACTCCTTGTGACTAAAAGAAAATACATTATCTCAAACATAATGGAAAAAAACTTTCTGACAATTTCAAATCTGTACTAACACTTTTCTAAAAAGCACTCACTTTTAAAAAAAAAAAAACAACAAACAAACATTCTGGAAGATTACTGGTTCATTGCCTCTTAATTTAGACTGCCTGTTCCTTGGACTACAGATAATGATTTTTTTTTAGACTTTCAGACTTGAGCCAAGTCCTTCTAGATTTCTTGCAAACAGAAATAATTGCTAGACTCAAGTGAACTTCTTGGGGTCAAAGCAGACCTAGGTACTCTTTTCTTTTTAATAAAGTGAAAATAAACTTGAAATGAAATAGCAACATATAAACCTAAAGTGGATTTATTACAAATTAATATAAGCCAATGGCTTTTAAATAACTTCTAACAGAATGTCTGTAATTCAGACTGATTAGGAGAAGTAGCATTATTTCACCTTCTGGAGACCAGTCACCCACTTGTGGCTGGCATCGATTCTTACTGTCTGCTGCCTTAAAAATAAGTGGTAAATGACAACACTTATTGTTCCTGTAAGTCTGTTAATGGTGGAGGGAACCCAGAGGGTCCCTTCACTTATCCCACACAGCTGCTGTTTATGGTGCAACTGTGCCTCAAGCAAGATGATGTTGAAATGCATTATAGAATTGTAATGCAGATGATAGCCACATGAAATAAGTTTGAATATACTATGTAAATTATGTGTTGGACTGTAAGGAATTTTTTTGTTAATAGTTGAGCGTTAATTCTCTCAGTACATGGACAGTTAGATAGAATGTTTCTTAAAATTTTACCAGACATTGTCTGTGCAGTGCATTTTTAGTATGCAGTTTTCTCATGCTGGTGATGTTACTAAACACTGGGACTGTTTCTGCCTCTAGAATTCAAGGAAGCCTTTTCCCTATTTGACAAAGATGGTGATGGTACTATCACAACAAAAGAACTGGGAACTGTCATGAGGTCATTGGGTCAAAATCCAACAGAAGCAGAATTGCAGGATATGATCAACGAGGTAGATGCTGATGGTAAGTGTTGGAAAGGTAGTTACTAGCACTGTGATCATCTTAAGTATGTATGACCTCCACACCTTGGAGGCTTGGACTGCATAGAGAAGATTCTGTGACATTGACCTCTTGCAGCAGTTTCAAAATACTCTATAGAATCTAACTCAGAGGGGTGTCGATTTTTTGATTGCTCTCTGCACAGCAGTCAAAGATGCTAGCAGTATTAGTGAGAATCTGAAAAAGGGGATGGGCAGAGACAAAGTTATGCTGTTTGTCTTTAATATTTTATGGGTCATAGGCATCCTGTTGCTATCTGACTTGCCCTGACCTACTGTTAACCTGTGTTTCCACCCAGCTTTTCTATACATGTTTCATCAGCCCATGTTGGTCTTAATAGCTGTACTAATGTCTGTGGTTTTCTCTAAGGCCAAAAATGTGGTAGGAGTGGAATAGTACTAAACTTCCAAGAATTGAAAACACAACAGGGAGAGACATAGTGTAATGTAGTGTATTAGATCACTAATAGATGGGGGGGAGGTATTGGAGGCAAAAGCAGAAAAACCTTCCCGTATCAAGTCTATCAGAATTATTTTAAATGGATGCCAGAAAGGGTAACTTCACATTCTTGTTTCTGAGACTCCAGACAGGCTAGCAGTTACAAAAAGGAAAAATGCTTTCCCCTGCTCAGTGATGTCCAGGCTTTGATCTTGTACGTTGGTTGTGATAGTGATTTTTCTCTAATATATCTGTAAAAGAAGAGTGAAAGTATATTGGCAGGAGTATAGATTATCTGATTATCAGACTACTTGCAACTACTTTCCTAAAAGTGTAAGTTGACCTTAATTGCTAACTTTTGCAGATACTGAAAAACTTTGGGGTTTGCAGTGCTACGTGGAGTTTGTGTATAGTGGCTTCTCTAGGCTGCAGGCAACAATGCTGCACTGGTAGATTAGAAATGAAAGGAGACTGAGGACTTCAGATAAGGATGCTTGCCCATCTGTTTAAACTGGTTTTATGGCAGAAAGCTTTGCTGTTATTCTCCTTGTTCACTGAGGATTTTTCAAAGCTGAGTACAAGACCTGTATTCAGATTTAGTTGGTAGATGAAGCTGGCCATGATGATAAATAGCTGTGTATGTCTCAATCTGGAATCCTTAAGCTGCAAAGGTTTTCTTAAACTGCATTTATTTTGCTTCTTTGCTATACTTAACTAATAAGTTTGTATGTTTCCCTCAAGCAATGGGTAGATCTTAGTTGCACAGTGAGCTATTTAATGCAGTTTTTTTGGCATATAGAGCTGAATCCTGGCTATACAAATCTAGTTTCTGCTGTTCTAAAGAACTTGTTTCTTCACCATGCCACTTTTCTCATAGCTTTGAGCAGCCTGAAGTTTGAATCCTTGCTTTGAATGAAGAACTTAACATCCAGGCCTCACCCATAAGATTTTTACCAGGGATTTTCAATACCAAATAATAGCAGCTTTTATCACGTCACTGGAATTTGCACATCCTTGTTGCCCCTTAAAATGGTGCATTACTTTTGTGGTGTACAATACATGTTGGTAAGGAAGTTGATTTTTAACAAGGAACAAGTATTTATGAGCAGCTTAGTGAAGTGTAATTTTCTCAAATCTTAGATATCCTGGATTTGTAGTGCCAGCTTTGTAATACATTCCCTTCTGGAATTTTGTACAGCAATTGGGAGATTCTGAAGAAACTAGACGATTAATTTTGGGAAGTGATTTGAAGTAAAGATAAGTCTTAATGTTGGTTAACCTTGGAGCATCAGACTGACATTTTACTTGCAACTTGGGTGGCAAATGGTATGGCTTGACCTAGAGAGAAAGCAACAGTTGATTTGTGTTGTGCCAAAACATTACATTGCAGTGACAGTGGCTGCTGCACATTGTAATAGCAAAAAGGCAGTGGTAGCAATTGAGGGAGAAGATCCAGTTCTTCTATAAGAATGGTTTACAGAGGATCTGTCAGTCTTGTCCCTGGCTAAATTAAATGCCAGATTCTTCTTTTTTTTGTATAAAGAAAAGCATGGAAGTTTAATTTTTGGAAGTTTCTTTTCATTAAGGCAATGGCACTATCGACTTCCCTGAATTTTTAACCATGATGGCCAGAAAAATGAAGGACACAGACAGCGAGGAAGAAATCCGTGAGGCATTCCGAGTCTTTGACAAGGTATTAATAAAAGTACAAATATTCTTTAGAAGCAGTAATGATGTCCATTTTTTCCTCAGTGTTTTCTCTCTTGTCTAGAAGGAAAAAAAAAAGTCCTCTAGTAGAAGCAGAGGAATTGGAAACAGAACAGGGACTGTTCTGGAAACAGAACCGGGACTGTTGCAGGCTGGTTCTACCTGCTTTACACAGCAGGTCTAAGCTTTAGGCTGATGGCTGATCCATGAGGAAAACTTTCTGGCCTTTCCTTAGGAGCAGAGATGAGCAGAACTTGATGCTTGTGGGGTGGGTTTTTTTTTTGGG